TGACAAGAGGCTGAAGGTATCTTTTTTAATTCTGTCCTGGGTTTTTGGCTTCCTTGCACTTTGACCTCTCCAGCTTTACTAGCTGGCAGATAGCATAGAAAAACCAGGAGGATTACAATAGGGCCGACATCTGAACAATCAGAGAGCAAGGGTTTCTAATCAATATACTTCTTCCTCCTACTGAACTCAAATTCCTAATAATACTTAGGAGACAACTTACTCTGGGAAAAATTCAGCAGTTCCATCTTTATCAAAAGTCAAAGGGCTTTCACTTCAGCAGTTTCTTGTAGGAAAAATGAAGCTTTGTAAGTCTAATACTCCTTTCATACACACACAGAGGGAAAAATATTTTTGTGCATTTTACTGAGACCTTCTGAAATCAAAACTCAAGGCACTGAAGGACACTACATTGGCTCCTGGATCTTCCTGCACATAGCTCCCTGCATGATCAGTGCATTTGAAAGTGGTCTAAAGAGAATCATGTCTTCTAGGACCTAGTTTATTCACTTCAAAGCAAAAGGTTTATCTTCCCAAGTTTATCTTTAAAAAGTTTCCGTTATTAGTTTCGCTTCTTTTAATTTATTCCCTCTCTACGATCTTTTCTCTGCCACTTGAACCAAATGGATTAATTCAGCCAATGTTGTAACATTTCATTTGACATAAAAACGCTAACTTCAGATCTCAGTTCCCTTGTTTTATTTGGTGATTTTGTGACTACAGGTTTTGTGAGGTTTGCATGTAAAACAGCTTAAAAGAATAAGCGGAGTACTGGAATCCGATCCACCTGTGCAGACTCCACTGACTTCATTGGGTTTACCTAAGCTGATCAAATTGTAGGATCAATTCCTACATTTATACTGAACTCTGCCAGATGTAAGTAACACATTGAAAAGAAATCAAATCTATCCCTTAATATACCACAGATTATCCTTATATGGTAGACAGAGATTCAATGTAGCCATAGCATCACCTATGCTTATGCTGTCCCTGCCCTGTTTGTTAAACTGTCAGGATAAAGTGAAGACCAGGGTGAAGAGGAATCTGGCAGAGAGGAGGCAATCATCAATGTGGACCCTTGAAAGAAGGGAAGGATTTGTGGAGGCAGGATTTTCTTCTGAAGAAGGTAGAGGAAGGTGATAAGGAAACTGCAGTGGATAGATGGCACTGTAGGTCTCATGCTGATGCCTGTGCTGCCATTAGCTTCATAGTACTCAAAAGCTAAACTCAGCATCCAGGTGGGGATCTGATGCACAGCCAGGCAAATGGAGGTGCTTTCATGGAGGAGAAACAGCTCAAATTTTGAAGTACTCAGATTTTCCATGTTATATTCTATATTTATTTTCACTTGAACATAATAGTTTGCATACTGGTTTGTTTGCTTAGCAGCACTAACGCTTGGCAGACCTACTCAACATCAGGAAACACTTTATTTAGCAGAGACAGTACCTGCCCATCTTTGTGACCCTTTCCTGTGATCAGACAAGCAGAGAACTACATTTGTTGATACATAACTACCTCCTCTAGTTAGCAAGACCCAACTTAAATGTGTGTTGTGTTCTAGATGAGTAATCAGGTGCTTTGTAGAGGAGATGTCACAGAAAAGGTCTGTGACAAAGCCAAGAACTGAAGTCCCATTTCCTAAATCTCAGCCTGCTACCTTAACTGGAAAGTTTCTTCTTGTCTTCAAGAACTTTCTTGGCAAAGGGAATAGAAATTCTTTAGCATCCTTCACAGCTGGATAGACAAGTGGCCAAATACCATTACATGTGATAGTTACTTTTGGTGTCAAAAGTCAAGAGACTTAAACAACAGCAACTTTGCAACAAGGTGATCAATTGCTATGCTGTGTCTGAGGAATTCATCTTATTTTCATTCCACTACTCTGTGCCACCTTTTCTTGTATATGTGAGAGAGGGATGGCCAGAACGTACAAACCATCATTTTTTTTCTAAAAAAGACCACACAACTCACTTCTCTAATACATATACAGCTCACATTCTGGTGCTGACAGTGAGTTAGCTGTTGTATGACCTGTGGTGCACAACAAGCTACTTCATCTTTTGCTGCCTGTTTGTAAATACAGGGATCTTAAGCACCTCCCCTCCCTTACAGTGGAAATGTACAGATTATTCAAATTCACCACATGACAAACATTTTGAGAACCTCTGCTGGTCAAGTGCTTCAGCAGAACAACCCATGCTGCATGAGAGGCATCCGTTTTCTTATTGTCAATACTTATTTTCCATTAATAACACATGTATTTTAAAAAGGGCTGTTGCAAGTGTACTTAATTGCATAGGTACTTTCCAGCTTCACCTTCTGCCTTCTACTCAGAGACACCACTTTTACAGCTACCCTTAGTTGTACAGGAAAAGATAGACCAGTAAAGTACCTTCCATTCCCTTTTTTCTTTGAATGTATATCACTGTAACATGTGGCTTCATAGTTTACTGTATCCAACAAAATTTGATGAGAAAAATGAATCACTGGACTTTTCAGTGGTAGTGAACAGAGACTGAGTTACCTCCTAGCAGCTTAGATGTAGACATACAACTTTTTAGGAAAATGGGCTTGGTTTTATTGTGAAAATGAAAGTTCATCAATTCTTCTCTTAAACAGGAATGAAATTAAATGCCTTGACTCTATGAAAGTTGTATGAAAGATGTGGCTTAGAATAACTGCTCAAAAATGTACTTTAAAACATGTAAATGCATCATGGAATGCATTAAGTTCTAATGGATTTACCACCTTTGATTATTAATGATTTATATCTCTCCTTCAAAGATGTTTGTTCAGTTAAAGAGAAATCATCAAACTAAAGATCTCTGAATTGAAAACATCCCTGAAAATTTTGTAATTATGTATTTTACCCTGGTTTCTTGATGAAACAGAGCTTAGGTATTTCACTGTCTGCCTGCCTGTCGCCCTCAACATAAAATGGTAAAGGAAGAAGACTGAAAGAAGACTGAAATAATATTCCTGCAAACTTTGTGGAAATTGCTGCCTCATTAAAGAACCATAGAATTAATTTCAGTTGGGAGTGACTTTCACAGCTCATTGGGTCCACCCCTGCTCAGAGAAAGACTGGGGTTATCTGGAGCTATTTGTCACTTTGTGAAAAGAAAAGCCATGAAGGTCTGGGTTTATTGCAGATGCTGAGGGTTAGAAAACACTGAAAATACATTTACAGGACATGAAACTTCATCCATCTCACTAACAGCACAACAAGTTGTTATAGCTACATACATTGCAGCCAAACAAATTAATCTAGTTTTTCACCCAGTTTCATGCCTTTAACAACATTCTCTGCCTTTCACCTCATGTTCTGCAGGAGCTGGTGATTATTTTCTTCCCAACACTCAGCTTGAAGGCGCTTGCTAGAGCCACTGATCACTTGGTTGAATGGGAAGGTCTCTGATTCACCATTGTGTTCATCTAGAGTGTCCAGGACAATGGATTTGATTTTTTGGTTCCCTAAATAAGGTCTCCTGGGATCCACCTTTCACTCTTCAGGTACAAAGCAAACCAGGCAGCATTAGCAATAGGGCAAAGCATCAGAAGGACCACAAACAAGCAAAAAGAATGCTTCCGGCAACAATGAGGATATTTTATCTACTTTTAGCCATGTAGTACTAATCATCTCTGATCATGGATATGGAATGAAGGAGAACTGTGACAAATGAAAAGAGGCTGCCTGAGTGGGGAAAGCAGCCTGGGTATGGTGGGTATGGTCCACCATATGCAAACTCAATGTCTTGAGGAAGCACGGTGCTGGCACAGAGGCACATTTGCATTAATGTATATTCCTCCAGAAACACAGCAGAGTAAGCTGCACAAACAGTAATCCCAGTTTTGCTGGTTTAGTGCATCTATATTAAGTGTGCTGGTTTAATTGCTCTTCTGTCATTAAATGGCTATAAATTTTCTTAATTATAGACATAGCCACCTGCACACATTATGGAGCACCATAAGTGGTGCTGGAAGTAAGTGTAGAGACTGGCCAGGAGAGGACATCTCTGAAGCTGAAGCCAGGGCAGCAAATGGAGCAAAGACAGAAGCAAGATTTCCTGAGGCAGCTGAGGAACAGGGAGGAGAGCAACAGACTGGCAGAAACACTCCTGGTCTAGCTGACTCTGCCATGGGGCAAAGGGCAGGACAAACACCTTCCTGCCTTCCTTCAGCCCACTTTTCTGTGGTTCACTCCTATAGTTTTCCCTGCAGTAGCCATAAGGCCCTGCTGAAGACAGGGGAATCCCACCAACAGGGCAGGGTGGGCCTCCCCGGTTTCAACATGGCTAGGATATCTCACCTTGAGGGCAGAAACACAGTGCAGACCCAGGACTTGCTCTGGTTCCTGAAGGCTCAGCTTGCCACACATGCAGAGGAACACAGGCTTGAGAGTGTTTTAAAAATAAACAGCCTGAGTTAGATTTATTTTTATATTTCAGGGAGGTTCGGGAGCAGGCCAGCCTCACAAAATGAAGCTCATTTCTTCAATGGCATTTTAAAGATGATAGCAGCTCTTTAACTTCATCTCTCATTACAATGACTAATGTGGAGAGAATGCCAGGAGGCTGCAGCCAGTCTCACAGCTCCGTTGACCTCCAGAGCACACATTAAGGGATCTCCTTTGCCTACTAATCTACCACCTCACCTGGAGGATAAAATCCTCTGCTCAGGTGCAGCTTTCACCAGCATTTCATGTGGGCACAGGGGCCAAGAAGGACTGGGATAGTTGATAGGACAGAGGCCTAAATTTAGACCAGATTCAGTAAGTGGCTGTAAGAAATGAAAGAGTAGAAAAAGAAGGACAAGAATAAAAGCAATAGGAATGGATACATAGATTGTATTCATCATGTTCCCACTTAAGATCTTTATTTTTTGAGTATCAATAACCCTTGCCAGAGATTTGCCCAACTCCTCTGCGCAAGGAATTTGCCATCAGAACTACAGTAGACAGGAATCACTTGCAGAGGAATGTGGCTGTTGAGGATGGGGGGTGCAGTGCAGAAACACATTTATTAAGGAAATAGAAGGCATTTGTGGAACAGCTGGAGAAATAACTGACTGGGTATTAACGCTGGAGTAGAGGTTGGGTGAAATGCAGGCAGCAATGGTGTGTCCTGGTGGTTATACAAAAGGTGACTGTCCTTTCCTTCAAAGAACAGTTTGTGTGTCTTGTACTGAAGAAAGGTGAAAAACATAGTTTCAGGATGGAGTGGCAGTGGACCAGAAAAAAAAAATCAGCATAAGTATTTTTCATGTAGTTGGGGTAAAACATTAGAATATGTTGAGACCTGCACTTCACCTTAGGCTTGGCAATTAATAAGATTTCTATTTCCTGTCTAGAAACAATCCAATCACAGTGCTACAATCACTGTCAGATGGTATAAAATGCCTACTAATTAATTACTTCATAGATGCATCTGAGATTATTATATACACATACTTAAAATTTATTCCCTCTTAAAATAAGTACCTGAATCAATTCTCAATAGATTTTTTCCTTTTTACTCATGGCTGTTTTCACACACTATAAATGATACATTTTCACATGTCTTTTCAAAACATTATAAGGTAATTTAGTCTGGATTGTAGCTGGACTCTGAGAAGATAAAAGTTCAGTTAAATTAGGAATATACAATCAAGTGCTAGACTGTGATATGCCATCTTTACAAAGTGATGACGCATCGCTCCTGCATCCAGTTACTGACAAGAAAATTCCTGCCTCTCTCGTCCTTACTGGCCTTCCCAGAGAAAAAGGTTTGTACAGTTACATTTTGCATGACTTCTACTCCTCTAAACCAGCATAGGAAGTCATCAATTTTGGAAAATCAGTTACCTTAAAATGAACTGAAGCTCAAAGAATTTTTGTATATAATGGAATGTGTTTCATGCTTACAATAACATCAGCTTATGGTTGACTTTAGGGACTCAATCTGTGCAGCAGTGAAATTGTGTTCCTCAGTTGCTCTCTGCCCACAGACTCAGTGTCCATGGCTGAAGAATCGGGTAATAAGCTGTACCCACCTTGTTGTTGTGACATACTGGTTCATCCTGTATTCGGGATGGCTCGTGGAGGGAGGACAGAGGGATGAGTTTAAACCTGTGTATGATTTAGGAGGTTGGAATGGAAGTCATTAGGAAAGAGCAATTGTTCTGGGAGGTAATTATAGGGGAAGACTGGCAGTAGGGAATTCAGAGTTTAGGACATTAAGAAACTAAAGATACGTGCATCAATCTCTCTGAACCTCTGTCCTAATCCTCCTCTTTTGTCAAGGTATTTTAAACCCAAGTCTAGCAGATTTGTTATGTTTTTGCTTGGGTCAATGGTAACAAACCATTTCTAGATTATAAATCATTTTTCTTTAAACAGCTTTTGAAAATTCAGGGGAACACCATGGAAAGTCAGAATGTACTTTTTGGAAGGCAAAATATCAAATTTGCTGTTTTTAACACCTGATCTTCCCACTAATATCTTCAACTTCCCTTTCCCTCTTTCTAGAGTTTTATTACTTAAGGCAGAGCTTCAGACTTGGAAATTCTTTTCCTCTCCTGCCCACCCCTCCAGACTCCATGAAGGGGCCAGCTGGAGCCCAGACAGGCTGGACTTGTCCCCCAGATTGCTTTTGACTTGCTCATTTTATAAACTAGAAACAAAAATAAACTTTCAGTTCACTTATCCACTTGCAGTCAGAGCAGTACTGTCTGCTTTGGGTACACTTTCAGTCCCTTCAAGAGGCCAAATTTTGCATGTCCTGAACCCTTCCCTTCACAAACGATTCAGCTGCCTTTTTCCCCAGCCCGTGAAGTAAATACTGGACTGTTAAATACAACTCTCCATTGCCTTCCACATACTCTCACCCCTAAGTGAAGTTGCTTCATGTGACCAACTGACTTGGTCCAGTTGTTACTTATTTACCTGCACCCCTCCTTTCTCCTTCCAGCACAGACAGGTCCCTGCCCATAGCAGGGGGTTGGAACTAGATGATCTTTAAGGTCCCTTCCAATCCAAACCATTCGGTAAATTTATGATTCAATGACTATGCTCTCCACACAAGCAACCCAGGTCAGGAACAGTCTTGTTTACAGCACGTTCCTTTTTCCTCTCCCCACACATCACACAAACTCATCCTTTCTGCCTGCCCATGCACTACACGTGTGGCCTAGGGCCGCGAGGCAGTGAGGTGCCCTGCCAGGCTTACTTCAGACACAGCTGATGCCTGTGCCCCGGCTTCAAGGCTAGGGCAGAGGTCTGGGAACGGCTCCGCCGTGAGCCCCGCACCAAGCCGCACACACGCGGGCCTGGGCACAAGGGGGAAACATGCCCACAGAAGCCCAGCAGGGCCTGAGAAACCGATACCGGCCCGCGGCCCCCGGCAAGCCCCGGCGGGGGCCGCCGCGTCTGCAGTGAGAGGGCTCGCGGAAGAGACAAGGGCCCGGGCCTCCCTCAAGTGGAGCCGAAGCCCCTACTCCTGGACGGCGGCAGAAGCGAGCCTCCGCTGCAGAGGTCGGGAGGGGCCCGGCGCCTCTGCCGATGGGCAGCAGCGGCCGCCCTCCCCGAGCTACACGCAGCTGGCGGCGGCGGCCTTCGGGGAGACCACGGCGACGCCAAGACCCGAACCCAGCCATTGTAGCCCCGCCCCTCCGGCCTCCTGTGGCGGCGGCGGCTGCTGTTCCCGGGGCGGCCGCGGCGCTGCCTCCCCCTCCCCGGCTCGCTGGGCTGCCCCTCATGCGGATGTGACATTTCACGGCGTTTACCGCAGCCGCCATTTTGAGAGCAGAGAGCGCTGGCGGCGGCGGAGCGGCACCAGCGAGCCGGGGCACAGGCAGCAGGGGCGGCCCGCGGGCCGGGAGCAGTGAGCCAGGCGTCGGCTAGCGGCTGTGCCGGGGCGCTGGGGGGGGCGGGAGGGCAGAGGAGGGGCCCCGCGGCGACTCCCCGACTTCGCAGCGCCGGGGACACCTCGCCGGGGGAGGGGGAAGCGCCGGGCGCCGCCGCCGGGCCCTGACTCCTGGTCTCCCGTCCCCCCCTCCCCTCCTCCCGGTCCCCTCCCCTCCGGCCCCCCGGGGAAGCCGCCACCCCCGGCCGGTCCCTCCTCCCCACCCCTTTCCCCCGACCGGGTGCCGCCGCCGAGATTGGGCGAATAGCGAGCAAATACGTGCGCGTCTCGCTGCCTCCGCCGGCTACCCGCTCCCTGTCCGCCGGAGCCCAGCCGCAGCCCCCCGAGGTGGGTGCTCAGTACCGGCCGCTGCCGAGGCCCCGCCGCTCCTCCACCCCTTCCCTTCCCGACACAGGCCTGCAGCCCCCAGCGGGAAAGGCCCAGGCCGCCGCCACCGCTGATCCCGAGCCCCATCCCGACATGAACCACCATCAGCAGCAGCAGCAGCAGCACCAGAAGCCCGGGGAGCAGCAGCTGAGCGAGCCCGAGGACATGGAGATGGAAGGTAAAGCCCGGCCCGGGCAGGGCCTGCGCCCTCAACTCTGAGGAGAGTTTCCCCCTCTCGCCCTTCTCTTGCTGGTTCCCGGGGCTCCCCCGCCCGGCGCCGCTTATCCTGCGGGGAGCTCCCGTCTTCCCTCCGCGGTAAACACGCGCCCAGCCCTTCCCTCCTTTGCGAGCGGACTGGCCGCCCCTCGCCGTCCCGCGGCTAGCTGGGGATCCCCCTCCCGGGGCGCGGGGAGCTCCGCCCGGCGGCACTTTGGCCGGGGAAAGTTGAGGCGGTGAGGAGCAGTGCGGGGCCGCGGGAGGCGGCTCGGGGTTGGGGGGGCTCCGCAGGAATTTGCATCGCGGGAGGGGGAGGATGCGGGGGAAGCGCTGCCACAAAAGGAGCCCCTCGCCCCCGGGGCGAGGCGTGCGGACGTGAGCCCGGACCTTCGGCCTGGCGGGGCTGGAAGCCTCCCCGTCGGGAGGTGAACCCGGGAGGCGGATGGTGGGGACAGACAGCCGCGCCCCGAGGGGTCCCGAAGGCCGGGATGAGGGGGTTTTGGGGTTTGTCTCAAAGTAGTTGTGATTTCGGGGGAGGGTTTTGCCTTCTGCGGGGGAAGGGGGCGCGGCTGTCCTGAGGGCTGCCGGGCGGTGGACGGTGGGCAGCGGGGCCTAGCCCGACGCGGCCCGGTGTCCCTACTCCTGCCGGTGGTGGGCTTGAGTCCTTGCCCTGCCCGGGGCGGCGCGGCCCGACCGCTCATTGTATGCAGGCAGCCACGCTGCTCGCCATTTTTAATTAACCCTCCTCTGAGGGTTATTTACAGGAACGGCTGCAGGCGGGCCTAGCGCGGGGTCGGCGGGCAGCGTTGGCCATGTGTAGCGGCTGCATAGCCCTCGGCCCGGATCCTGCACCGTCATGCAGTTGTGCTGGTTTCATAAAGGAGGCACTACATTTTCAGGCTTGTTCCCTCTCCCGTCCGGTGTGGTCTCCGTTGGTGCCTTTTGCATTTTATTTTGCATTGTGTTGTTATTTTTACGCACCCTCCCTCCCCCCTTTGAACAATACCTTCCGCCTGGATTTAGCGATGTGAAAATTATTTTGAGCAAATGTATGGCAGGATTTTGTTCCCTGAGGAAGGGCAGCTACAGCATGCTGCTCATACCGATGGAATTTGACTTGGAGGTCAAAAACGCCCAACTACCTAAATATCGTTTAGAATGCCTGGCTGCGAAGATGGCAATTCTGTTACGACCGTTCTAATCAACAGTGGCATAAATATTTGCTAACACAAGATATTTTACTTGGAAACAATGACAGTTGACTTAGTAAATGTATCTTTTTGCTAAATAATTGCCATTGAAATCAGGAGGAGCAGAGATGGAAGTGGAGTGGAAGTTTGTCAGGGTGACTGTGAGATTACATTTCAAGATTAGAAGGTCATTACATAAAGCTTTGCTTTCCTGAGCATAAATCTCTATTTCATGAAATAATAGCTAAAATTTATTTACTATGAGAGTGATTGTTTCTGTTTTTGTTTTGAAAAAATCTCCAAACTGGGGTTTATATACTGTGTGACAAATGCATTAAAGGAGGTGACTTTAAGTATATGTAATATTTGTTTGTATGCACACAAATGTTAACATCTCATGGGTTATATTTTCCAGCAGATTGTTTGATAGCCCTTAGCAAACTGCTTTTTCTGAATACCCTTTTCAAGTCCTTTAGAATATTGACTGTATTTAATGGTTTTTTTAGTTTGATTTTTGTGTGCTTGATGCCCTACAATGCTGGGCACACTGTGAAACGCTAAACTTTTTTATGCATTTTAAAGGTTTTCTGAATGTCTCTGGATTGCATCTCCTCTCTGAGTAGGGATACAGGAGTCCAAAATACAGGCAGAAGTCCCTTTGGCTGTGGAAGTCTTACACAGGTCACCACCTCCATTGGAGGGGTGAGGAAGGAGTCTCTGCATATATCAACATAGCAACACCAAGAATAAATACAGCATTATCTTGGAAATCTAGTTGAGATCTATTCGGCCACACACAGCTGAGTCTCAGTGATATTACAAACTGGCTAATTGGTGAGAGTTTACAGAACTGTCAATTTCATTTGTGCAAAAACAAAACTAAGAAAGTTTAGTCTTTGGAGATTTTTTCCTGCAATACTTGATTTTTCTTGAGAAATATGTTAAGTACAAGATAGCAGATTATTGCTGAGTTTTAATAATCATCATGGGTGTATGTTCATTTAGTGTGTAAAACAGTGTTTATTTTAATTTATGGGTGTGCTTTCTTGAGAGAGATGCTTTCAAGCAGTGAGGAAAATACTTAACGTGTAGTTAACTTAATTTTAACATGCACGGAACAGTGTTGGGTGCCATTCTTCAGTGAGTGATCATGTTAGATTTAGGAGGTATGTGAAGAATGCGCAGTAGAAAATTGCACATCTTGATTTTGAGTTAGGTGCAGGTTCACTTATTCTATGTACAGCTACAGCAGATGATTGATTTTGGTAAGCGAGATAACCATTTCAGATGTAGTAAAAGAAGTGTGGAATTAAACTCTGTAGGATTAAATCAGATGTATTTTGAGTGTCTGGTCTCATGTCCCTGTTTTTCTCCCTTCCCTTTCCCTTATGACTAATTTACTCTTCCTTAATGACATTATGGACGCTGTGTATAAATAATAGTAGTACTAGACAGGGCCATAAGACTTAAAGTGGGAGGAAGAGATTCCCTTTAGAAGGAAAAATTAATCTCTGCATCATGAAGGAAAGAAGCAATGACAGCTTTGGTAAGGGTAGGTCCCTGCTCAGCGGGACTAGATGTGATGCAGGCTCACCTCCTTGCAATGCTCAGAATGCAGTGGTGTTACTAATCACCTCTGTGTGTGTTTAGTCTTCTGTTACCTGTGGATGTTGTTTGTAATCAGCTTTAGCCTTGCTGAGGCTAAGCAGCAGCGGTACGTAGACAGAGAAACTTTAAATTTAAGGAATGTCTTGAAGGAGGTTGTGTTTCCTAATACAGTTGGGCAAACAGTGTTTGCTGCTGCTTACTTTCATCTTGTGTGCCATGCCAGCCGCTGGGCTGACGCACCTCCCTGTGAAGGTGAAGTCCTCAAGATTAAAAACAAGAAGTGGGGGTTTAATTTGGTTCACCCTGCAGCACCATTTAGTGTTGTATGGTTGTGGTGAAGGTTTGGCATTGGGGTGGGAAGGAACAAGAAGGGCTGCTTGAGGCAGTGCAGATGCTGGCAGTTATTTGGCCAAATTCTGTCACTGGTTATGGATTTTGTGTGCAGCTCTGATCCACTGTCATATAAAAGCTTGTGATTCTGGCTGCTGTTGCTGCCTTTGGACTGAAACCACTGAGTGGGAGTGTGCAGGTGAGCTGCTGGTGCCTGAGTTTTAGATAAATTAACAGTTTGTGGTGGTGATTAGTAAATTATCCTGTAGAAATTTTGAGTTTATGCTGAATAAATTTAGTGCAAGAAATAATAGTTTTTCTGTACTGTAAGTAGGGTATATAGGTTGCTTTATTAGGCAAAGAATTACGGCTCTTTAGTTGCTAGTGAGTTGCTCTATAAAGTGTAATTGAATCCAAATCCCAGTACTTTTATATGCTGCTTCTGTAACATGTTTTCACAAATGTGTCCTAACTTCAAACAACTGGGTTTAATACAAACCTACAGTTACATATTTCGTAAAGCTTTTTCATGGAAAGTCTCATTTGTGCTTACTAACTTTAAGTTTCCCTTGTTTATGGTTTGAATCTGCTTTTTTGGTAGGTCCAGCCTCTGCCCATAGTTATGTATGTACATGTGTTTCGCATTATGGAAGTTTATTTTCCAAAGTAGCCAGCGCAAGCTTACTGAAAC